CTATCTATCTTCATGGGAACGGAGATTGTAGGAACAAGACAGCAGTCCAGACCCCTGTGGTAAGTATCCATGCCATGAATCTGTTCAGAAAGCACATGCGTTCAATTATATAACTATATATATATATATATATATATATATATATATATATATATATATATATATATATATATATATATATATATATATATATATATATATATATATATATATATATATATATAGATTTTTTTTTTTTTTTTTACACTAACAACCAAATCATGAATGAACATGATATGGAACTTGTTCAAGCACTTATTATAAAAACTGCCACTGCACATAAACTGAAATAAATAAAAGTTCTCACATAAACCCAGCAGTTCTTTGTACGGTCATCGGCCTCGACTTCGACTTTTCGATCTGTGTTCGCTGCGCAGAAAACAGATCCCAGCAAAGCCCCCGACCTGCAGAGAAAGAGAGAGACGTCACGACTCCTCTGCTGTTGTTTCTAAAAACAGACCTGGACCTGTTTCAGTGAGTTCCTGATATTAGTGTGAGTAAAGCTGAAAACATATCTCTTCTGTCTAAAGACTTCTCAGACTTCTCAGACAGATCACAGACCATATATTAGGAGTGGACTGACCAAGTGCTGACGTCACCATAGTGTTTGTCGAATGCAGAAGGAGCCGATTTGAAAATCTTCTAGTTGGAGTTATTTTCCTTATATGGGCATTTGTGACAACAGGGTGAGCTATGCGCTGTAGCAGGGGCAGATGCAAACTAACGTATTGCTAACATGGTTCCTATAGAAAGCTGGAGTTTCCCCCTGAATGAATGCATCTGAGTGGTCAATCCTTAGATAGCTCCTAACATGACAATATCAACATGTAAACACCAGGTTTAAACCTAAACTATGGTTTTTAAGCCCCAAAGGGACACAAATGGTAACTGAGCTCAAGGGGCTGAGGTTAAGGACATACTGTATGCCATTCATCTGTACTGATCAATCACTAGTCACTCCTCCTTTTTTTTGTCTCACAGTGGGGAAATTTCAGTGTTGCATCACAAGTTACAGAACAGTAGGAATGAGTAACACACGGCACAAGATAAAAAAAACAATAACTATACTAATCCAAATAAATTAAAATCTCTAACTCTAGCATTAAAGAAATAAGTATAAAATCTCTATCTTTAACATAATAAAAAAGTATACAATCTCGAAATTGTGTATTCTAGAGCAAGCAATATGTAGTTATATGTTAGCATCTGTAAATTAGCAGCAGTATGTTTACATCTGTACATTAGCAGCAGTATGTTTACATCTGTACATTAGCAGCAGTATGTTTACATCTGTACATTAGCAGCAGTATGTTTACATCTGTACATGTTAGCAGCAGTATGTTTACATCTGTACATGTTAGCAGCAGTATGTTTACATCTGTACATGTTAGCAGCAGTATGTTTACATCTGTACATTAGCAGCAGTATGTTTACATCTGTACATTAGCAGCAGAATGTTTACATCTGTGCACTAGCAGCAGTATGTTTACATCTGTACATTAGCAGCAGTGTGTTTACATCTATACATTAGCAGCAGTATGTTTACATCTGTACATGTTATCAGCAGTATGTTTACATCTGTACATGTTAGCAGCAGTATGTTTACATCTGTACATGTTAGCAGCAGTATGTTTACATCTGTACATGTTAGCAGCAGTATGTTTACATCTGTACATGTTAGCAGCAGTATGTTTACATCTGTACATGTTAGCAGCAGTATGTTTACATCTGTACATGTTAGCAGCAGTATGTTTACATCTGTACATTAGCAGCAGTATGTTTACATCTGTACATTAGCAGCAGTGTGTTTACATCTGTACATGTTAGCAGCAGTATATTTACATCTGTACATGTTAGCAGCAGTATGTTTACATCTGTACATGTTAGCAGCAGTATGTTTACACCTGTACATTAGCAGCAGTGTGTTTGCACCTGTACATTAGCAGCAGTATGTTTACATCTATACATTAGCAGCAGTATGTTTACAGCTGTACATTAACAGCAGTATGTTTACATCTGTACATGTTAGCAGCAGTATGTTTACATCTGTACATGTTAGCAGCAGTATGTTTACATCTGTACATGTTAGCAGCAGTATGTTTACATCTGTACATTAGCAGCAGTATGTTTACATCTGTACATGTTAGCAGCAGTATGTTTACATCTGTACTGTACATGTTAGCAGCAGTATGTTTACACCTGTACATTAGCAGCAGTGTGTTTGCACATGTACATTAGCAGCAGTATGTTTACATCTGTACATTAGCAGCAGTATGTTTACAGCTGTACATTAACAGCAGTATGTTTACAGCTGTACATTAACAGCAGTATGTTTACATCTGTACATTAACAGCAGTATGTTTACATCTGTACATTAGCAGCAGAATGTTTACATCTGTGCACTAGCAGCAGTATGTTTACATCTGTACATTAGCAGCAGTGTGTTTACACCTGTACATTAGCAGCAGTATGTTTACATCTATACATTAGCAGCAGTATGTTTACACCTGTACATTAGCAGCAGTATGTTTACATCTGTACATTAGCAGCAGAATGTTTACATCTGTACATTAGCAGCAGTATGTTTACATCTGTACATTAGCAGCAGTAGGTTTACATCTGTACATTAGCAGCAGTATGTTTACATCTGTACATTAGCAGCAGTATGTTTACATCTGTACATTAGCAGCAGTATGTTTACATCTGTACATGTTAGCAGCAGTATGTTTACATCTGTACATGTTAGCAGCAGTATGTTTACATCTGTACATTAGCAGCAGTATGTTTACATCTGTACATTAGCAGCAGAATGTTTACATCTGTGCACTAGCAGCAGTATGTTTACATCTGTACATTAGCAGCAGTGTGTTTACATCTATACATTAGCAGCAGTATGTTTACATCTGTACATTAGCAGCAGTATGTTTACATCTGTACATGTTATCAGCAGTATGTTTACATCTGTACATGTTAGCAGCAGTATGTTTACATCTGTACATGTTAGCAGCAGTATGTTTACATCTGTACATGTTAGCAGCAGTATGTTTACATCTGTACATGTTAGCAGCAGTATGTTTACATCTGTACATGTTAGCAGCAGTATGTTTACATCTGTACATTAGCAGCAGTATGTTTACATCTGTACATGTTAGCAGCAGTATGTTTACATCTGTACATTAGCAGCAGTATGTTTACATCTGTACATTAGCAGCAGTGTGTTTACATCTGTACTGTACATGTTAGCAGCAGTATGTTTACACCTGTACATTAGCAGCAGTGTGTTTGCACCTGTACATTAGCAGCAGTATGTTTACATCTATACATTAGCAGCAGTATGTTTACAGCTGTACATTAACAGCAGTATGTTTACATCTGTACATGTTAGCAGCAGTATGTTTACATCTGTACATGTTAGCAGCAGTATGTTTACATCTGTACATGTTAGCAGCAGTATGTTTACATCTGTACATTAGCAGCAGTATGTTTACATCTGTACATGTTAGCAGCAGTATGTTTACATCTGTACATTAGCAGCAGTATGTTTACATCTGTACATGTTAGCAGCAGTATGTTTACATCTGTACATGTTAGCAGCAGTATGTTTACACCTGTACATTAGCAGCAGTGTGTTTGCACATGTACATTAGCAGCAGTATGTTTACATCTATACATTAGCAGCAGTATGTTTACAGCTGTACATTAACAGCAGTATGTTTACAGCTGTACATTAACAGCAGTATGTTTACATCTGTACATTAACAGCAGTATGTTTACATCTGTACATTAGCAGCAGAATGTTTACATCTGTGCACTAGCAGCAGTATGTTTACATCTGTACATTAGCAGCAGTGTGTTTACACCTGTACATTAGCAGCAGTATGTTTACATCTGTACATGTTATCAGCAGTATGTTTACATCTGTACATGTTAGCAGCAGTGAGGTTTACATCTGTACATTAGCAGCAGAATGTTTACATCTGAACATTAGCAGCAGTATGTTTACATCTGTACATTAGCAGCAGTATGTTTACACCTGTACATTAGCAGCAGTGTGTTTACACCTGTACATTAGCAGCAGTATGTTTACACCTGTACATTAGCAGCAGTATGTTTACACCTGTACATTAGCAGCAGTGTGTTTACACCTGTACATTAGCAGCAGTATGTTTACACCTGTACATTAGCAGCAGTATGTTTACATCTGTAGCAATTTCAGACAAAGTGTTAGAATTATTATTATTATTTCTTTTTTTAACCTATGAAGCAAATAGTTTGAAGAATTGCCACAATCTCAAAGTAAAATATTTTCTAAAAATAGACTCAGGAGCTCAGTCTTGGAAGTTTTATGACGTACTTTATAATTCAAATGAAGTCGTTTTCACCATGACACACATAATGAAACACAGTGTATATTTTTCCCCGCAGCACATGCAGGGTCTTGTGAATGTAAGTAACTGTATAATGTTCCTTCATGTGAGTGTCCCTAATCCATCTTTCCCCATTCAAAACCTCCCTTTGAAGATTATCCGCTGCTGAGCACAAACCCAGGCCTGTGATTGGCTGCAAACGGCAACAATGGAGCAAAACTGTACCAGGAATTATATCATTTTCAGTTCCAGTGAAGAAGACGGACACATTTTGAGTCTGAGGCAATTTCAGTTACAAATGTGAAATGCAGCGCGGAGTCAT